ATAACAAGCCATCGCGAGACGTTTACCGATCATTAACTACTTCTTTGCAATCAACCAAAGAACATTACTCGTCCTTATCCGTTGATAAGCATAACATTAGCTACTATTGGGCTGAAGAACCTGATTTTCGAGTTATCTAAAACGTTCCTTATTTGCAATAAACTGGCAACAGACCCAGTTTGTCATAAACGCCTTAATTCCAAACGAATCCTAGAATCTTCTCTTCCAATCGCCATTTTGTGAAGTACCCAAGAAATTATCACGCGTAGCGTCCGATGGGGCTTTGCAGATCAACGCGTCCGAAATAATTTCATGTTCCACTTCGTGGCGAGCGAATCGACAGTCGCCAGGCATCGACAGAAATAATTAGGACGACTTTTACAACCACCTCGGCAGGTGGATCCGTGGCACGAAGATTCCACGGAATCTGTTCGTCGTCGACGATAATCCCGGCCTGCCTCTTGCGTTCAGCGCGGAATTCGATTTGAATGGAACGCGGGACCCACGTCACGTCTGCTCGTACAACCGCAATGACTGTAACTGTTTTGCCAGCGGAGTTCCTTAGCTGGATCGATCCATTTACCGTAGAAATCTTTTGTCGGCGAAACCGAGTCCTCGAACCGAGTTTTTACCATCCAAGAACGCGAGGGACGCAGACTCTGGAGATCTCAGAAAAGTGTATTTTGCGCAACGGTCGCGCTACAAAATCGTATAGATCTTCTTTAGAGATCGTGTCTCTTAATCTACGAGAACTGGAATTCTCCGTCGCGGTACCAGTTTGAATATAGCAGAACCTCGATTGTTGCAAGAAATCAGAACTCGAGATTCTTGCAATAACCATTGTAGACAATAAGAAGTAGCGCAGCTCACTGATGGCTCACGAATAGCGTCTTCGACCTCATTTGTTGCAATAATCGAGTCAATGCTGACAAACTTAGAAATTTATTCCACTTTAACGAAAAAGAAATGAGTAAATTGTATTCTATATAAATGTCTTGGTACAATCTCAGTACATGAATATACTTTTTCCAATTTTCCATCCCCTAGCACCTGATGTTACAAGCTCTCTTGTACAAGGAACGTGCGTGAAGTACTCCTCCGTCGATTTTGATGGAACTTTGCCACCTTGTGAAGTGTAGTAACAGACCAAAAGTGAGACATACGTATTTCCTGTCGTCGAGTTGACTCGAGTTTACGGGGCGGACCTACCCTTAAAAGTTTCACCCTTAATGGTGTCTTGAAAACTGTGGGAAATACTCGGAAGTTTCTTTAAATAAATTCTTTAGCAGCTTTTAGTATTGTGCATGTGATCGTCATTGTTTACATTTTTAAAAAGACAATACAGCGAACTATTTCCGTAAAATTTATTCAAAATAAATAAACAAAGGTTGGTTTCCACCCTTCTTTTATTCTGATTATCTCGGCCAACGTTTCGTCCAAATTTTCTAAGCAAAAATACTCGTTAAACCTCCAAGCAACTTAACCACTAGATGGCACATCATTCTCGCCGCTGAGTTTGATTAGTTTCCTTATGTAGGAGATACTTTCCAACCGAGAGCCACGTTTAAGGTAAGATCCGTTAGAAAAGCCTCACCGACGAGTCCTCTGGCGGATCTAGGACGTAACTTTTGTCGTTGCTTGGAAATACAAATTAATTAATACACCATAAGGAAATAATTTGTATAGTTTTTCCAAGTTACCCAAGTTCTTTCGCGCATTTAATTGCCTGAAATTCAACTTCAGCCCCAGCTTTACTGGAAAACCGAAGAAGAGGATTACCCCTTAAATGGAATTCAGATTCAATGATTAGACTCTTTGGAACGAGTTATTTTATCGTTGATCAAGATTCCATCTAACGTGAATTAATGAATAACAGCAAATTCAAGGGTTAAATTGGATATTTGTAGCAGGGGGTGGGAGGATGCAATTGCAATTGGTGCGCTGGGTGTGTCGCTGCAAACAGCTTATTAGTCGAGGGACTGCAAGCCCGTTTCGAATCGTTAAGATTCATCTATCTTAATCTTACATCGAGCAATGATATTTCCTTGATGCGCCTCCATTGCGAGCAAAACCACTGTAACTATCGACGATATGTTCTGGAAAGAGGGACGATACACACTTTGTGGCTATTCCATGCTAACGTGTCCACGTCGATACAGTCAAGATTCAGATATCTAATCTGGCTGGTCGCTACCCAGTGGCTCTCAATCGATGCAAAAGGAAAACCTTAAATGTTCGGAATTTCACTTCAACTTCGACGAGTTTATCTTTCAATAACAAGTTCAACAATGTTCAAATTTATATTGGAATCGATCATTCCAATATTATTTTATGAAAAGATCCATGCCATTTCTTATAAGATCTAACCGTAAACAAATGTTGTATTCACATAAATTTCACCGTATAACAACCAAAACTATGAGTTTAATTGTTTTCCATGCAAAATAAGAGGAAGCAGAAACCCTTTTGCATCAACTACATTAAGAAGGAAGTATAACGGGGGACCATAAGAGAAGAGATAATACTTAATCCCTCCATTACATTATTCACATTTAAATTCCTAGCATTATGTCCGCAGCTTATCCAAATAACAAATTCAACACTTTTTTACCGGTGCATTCGGAAAAACGACGTTCAAATCATCGTTAATTTTAGAAATACCACGAAAAAAAATTAACTGTGCCGTTCGATTAATTAATTAAAGCAAATATTTCCAATTAAATTTAAAGCAAAATCCTAGAATTATTTATATTTATTTTCTCCTTTTTTCAATTTTTGTTTTTAAACGATCAGTACGACGCGAATAAAAAATTTGCGGAGCTATTTGCATATCTATAGAGTGGCCATTAGCAGAGAACACGTTCGACATTCATGACTTGCAGTGATTCGAGAAATAGGAATGAATTCGTCCATTTTCTTTATTGTTAAGTGTTAAACTATTTGGTCTATAACGCATATATTAGACGATAACGAATCAAAACGAGACAATCGTGGCATCGATTTCTAATGCCGGCTCTTCTTTCACGTTCAAATTCCCCAAGGTGGTGGGGGAACCGGAAGAGGCAACAATTTATGGCCGACGCTGATTCTAAATAACACGTTCGATTTTCCGGATGTCTCCAACAAATATTTTCATTCGCATCGATTCGTGGAAATTTTACAAATTTTCACGCTCGAGTTCACCACGATCGTGGAAAACCAAATAACCCTACGGCGACGAAAATATGGCGCGAAAGTTCGCTCGACGGTAAAAGTGCGTTCGAACAATTTCTCGATCGAGAAATCCCCATATTTGTGCTTAACCGTTCCCGCGATGCTCGTACGGAACAATTTTCCATTAAAAACATCGTATCTGACGCGTCTCAGAAATATTCGGTACTTCCGATTGCTAAAAATGGCGGAAAAACTGTATCGCCTAGAGATACGATTTTTTCAAGGAAAAACATGGCGGATCGAAAATCTGTTTGTTACTCGAAACGGTACACGTCACTAACGCAACACGCAGCACGACCGTTACTCCCTATTTGCTTAATGAGTTAAGGACGCTGGTGAAAAATGGCGTCTAATCGCCTCTGTATTCTCGCGGTTCTGCATGCCGTGTTACGTAAGTGGCTATCAATTTCATAGATTTCCGAAGCGTCGTGCATCACGCGAGCCGTTTCCCTTCCAGCGATGCATCGAAAAAAATCGAGGGATTGATCGACGACGAAACCAGCGAACGTTAATACGAAATTAATACCAAAATCGAATACATTCTACCGCGAATCGGTTCGTTAAATTCCACGAAATCCGACACCACGACTGGACTCGTTTCCAACAAGGAACGACTCTAATCTTCGAAACCACTACTCGAGTCGGTTCCACGTCTAAACGCGTACCCATACTCTCGCGATTCATTGAATCGTTCGTTACAGAAGTTTCTATGCCCGTACATGATTTTCGTATAAATATTCATTTTTTGGTTCATATTCCGCGACGAACAGCAGCTCGATATTATCATAATTCCATAGCCTTCGTGACGATCGAGTTGTTACAAATTTACGCATGACTAATTATTCCTCTTTCTTTTCCCGTCGAAGCTGCGAGCGTGGCGGCTCGTTTCCATGCTACCGGGTTTCCGAGCTCGAGTGTCGAAATCGAGACTGCCGGGGAAATGTTCGAATTACCAATTTCGACGCGGTTTTCGTTTTCAACGGACGAGCGCCCGGCGAGGCACGTTTACACGTACCGTAAGCGTGACGCCCAGAGAGAAATCTATGGCTTCGGGGACGGCCGCGAGACGGCCGGAAATGGGAAACGCGTCAAACGGTCGTGTATCCCGATCGGAAACCCTTTTCGGCGGACTTTCGACGTTTCCGTCGGCACCGAGCCACCATATTAGAGTCGCCACGAGCCGTCTTTATTGCGCAGCAACGTCGTTGACAAAAAACTGCCCCGCTAACTCCGGGCTTTATCTCGCGAAAAAGGGGGAAAAAATTGCACACAGCCGCGCAACACGCGGCGGAGCTCGTAAAAGGAGAAAAAACAAGAAAAAAAAATATCCGCGTCTGCAACTGTGCATTATCGGCGGAGAGCAACGGCCTCGTTGCGCCGCCGACTTAATTTTCTGACTTTCGGTCCGCTACCGAACTCGATTTCCCGTACGATTTTCCCGCGAATCGATAGCCGAGAGATTCCTATCGAGAAACACGACGGTCGGCAAACGCTGCACCGTTGATACGAGCGACTCTCGTTTCCGGTCAGCGGTGGGCTCGAAATATTTCTGTCAAATGCCGCGAAGGAAAAGCCCCGAGAACCGAACAAAAGAATCGCATCGGGAGTGGGCGAACGCGATCGTCGAGAATGAAATCGTGACTCCCGACCCGTTTCCGGGGCCGACCTTCGGTACCATCTGTGGCACATAAACAAATGCCCCGAAACTTGCTCGTGTAACGGAAACGCGATCACGTCGGGCAAAAAGAGGTGGGAATAAAAGGAGAAGGCGAGCCCATCGTACTCACAGCATCTCCTTGGCGGCCGAGCTCGCGAAGCACATCACGGCGGCGACGGCACGGCAGTCACGGTCACAGTCACGTAAGCTCCGAACAACGGGCACGATGGTGTCGACGACGAGCACAATCAGAGAAACACTCATCACTGTCACCAGGCGCTGCCCCTTTTCGGCAGTGGACGTTGGAAACGCGAACCTCTCGAAAGAGTTCCAGGAGCGGCGCGCGTCCGTGGTCAGAGCAAAGGAAAAACGAGTGGTGTTCCGTCTCCCCGTCCCCGTTACGCCTGCTCGTCCTTTAATCGCGAGACCCTGAGAACACTCTCGGCCCCACACCGAAATTACCGCACTTGTCTTGCACCCGGAACAACCCACGACACCACAGAATCGGCAGAGTGCCACCGCCGTGCAGGCAGAGCCGATAGCAGGAGAGAGCAGCGCGGCTCCTGTGCTCGTATGATTTCAACCTCGCTCGTAGTTATTCGATGCAGTCGAGTTTCTTGACTGAGCGGCCGATGCTCGCCGAGCCGTGCCCCGCGAGATCACACGCCCGCCAACTGCATCCACGCTACGCCGCAATGTCACTAGACCGCCGTTCGAGGCGCTCCGTGCAAACGCTTCTTCAATTATTCCGTATCCAACTCTTTAACTCGATCGTCCTTTTGAGCTTTCATTGAAGTGTTAAATAAAATCCAAAATTTTAAGGTGTTAGACAGAGTATACAACTGCATCTATAATCAATTATTTTGATTGCAATTCCTCGTAAACGTTACGCTTCGAAAGACTTGCTTTCGAGTAACTTGGTTCGAAATTCATTTTTAGCGTACGCCGCGTTAATAATTTTTTAATATCGCGGACAGCAAGCGGAGCAAAGTGGAGAAACGTATCGTCTTCCGACGAGAAATTCTCGGTGACCTAGTAGCCTGCAAGAGGGTCACTCTCATATCTTCGTGTGCTTTCATTCGCAGATCCAGAAACTGAGGAGATTCACTTATCGATTCAATTCGCTCCAAATTTTCATTATAATTTCAGTAAAATATCTCAATTGCAACCTCAATTAAAATTACAACGCTCGACGCAAATGACCAAGTAACTTTTAATTCTGTTCTGCTATTTACATCTGCTATGTACACTTATTTAAACGACAATAGTAGCTTTGAAACCCTTCTTTTCGTCGGAATTAACGTACAGGGGAAATTTTCAATTTTTCCGCAAGCGCGCCAAAACTCTGACGGCGAGCTCGCGAATTATCGTGTTCCGTGAGAACATTTTCGTTGCATAGGTTGGCATCACGAAGTTTGTGCATTGGTCATCGTCGAAGTGGCGGCGCGCGATTGGTCCGATTTTCTACCTGCTTAATGGCGGTGGCAGCTGCATGTAAGTGGAGGCAAGTGGAGGAGGCAAGAAATTCGAAGCGTCATACTGTATAGTCGAGTCCCGGGCTCTGCGTGAGAGCCCTAACCTGGCGGCCGTGCTTCGTCTCGATCGGGGCGTCGATTTCGAGTCGTGGATTGCTCCGACGCCGTGCACATCGTGTCCGTGGCCGTGGGATCGCGTCGCGACGCCTGTTTACTCGTTCGGTATCGCCCGCGGGACAACGCTCGAGGACGCGGCGATGACAAAGAGCTGAGAGTACGGTGTTCGCATTGTTCATGAGGTAGGACCACTTCTCGATACGTATTTTCAAGAGTGTGGTGTGTATTTTTGTGTGTGCCAACCCGGAGGATCGGTGCAGACGGAACCAGAGTGATTCCTCCGATTTTAAATACCCGTTCGGAAGAATGTGCCTCGTGAAGTGTCGATAAAAAGTTGCAACAGCTGCAAGTATTTAATGGTAAACTGCCGATGGAAATCTGTGATCATAATCGCCCATGAAGAGGTAATCGTTCGCGGTCGATTCTCTACTTTGCGAGTGGGGAAAGCATGTTTCGTAAAATTCGTAAAGTTCGACGATGTATCAATATCGATTTAAATTGTACCGATTGGAAAACGATGCAACGCGCGTTTTGGAGCCTTAAACGGCGTGGGAATTGATAAATGTGAATGGGCATAAATCCATTTTAAAATGTTTTCGCTAGTATTTTCAATGTAAGGTGCACCCCCGACGAATATCGTACCTTTTTACGCGGGAATCATGCTTAATGGATTTAAAGAGCTGTTGACGAAAGGTGTGCATTGGTTTAGGTTGTTTGATAAGAGTGTCTTACAATTTGTGGTAAACATTGAGTAAATAAATCTTATGAGAGAAGATCAGATGCATTTGTACCAGTGATACGCAGTAAGTGTTTCCATATGTAAATGTTCGTCGTGTTGTTTTCTTGTTTTTTTCGAGAAATCGAACGTGTAAGTGTGGAGTTTGAGTAAATAAGGAAACTCGATGAAACGAATAGGGAAACCATAGACGTAGCTTATCTGTTTATGTTTAAATACGCGATTAATTCGATATTTAATTCGAAATTACGCAATTGGTTTTCGAAGTGGATATTTTTATAATGGTGATTAGCTGTGCACTCTGCGTCAAGGATGACATAATTTGACAGCTTTAACGATCGTAGAAACGATACGTTACGTTGTTTAACGCGAAGATTGCTTTGATTCAGGGTTCTCGCGAATAAATTACAATAGAGAGATTTCTTAATTGCACGTTGAATATCCGACGGTGCGTGAAGTATCTTCAAAACGTTGCGTTTATGACCTTACACCACGCTGTTAGCAATAAACCGGTTTCACAGTGGCCTTCCGAGAACTATATCGAATCGACGATAAAATTATCCCCAGTACGGTTTTTACCGGACACGCTCGCACGGCGTCGGAGGCATTTTACGAACGTTACTAAAAATATGATCTAGCCGTAAATATAGAATATACTACCGCCGTAAATTAAACGTTTACAAATTATCCTGTTTCCTTCAAGTAACGCGTTGTGCTCACGGATTTAAGCCTGTTGATGAATCTACCTTAAAAAATACACGTTGCACGAAAGATCAAAAATTTTTAAGCGTAGCCAGCCGTTGAAAGAAAATCAGAACCGAATCGGCGATACCGTCGCCGATTAAATTGCCGTTTAGCAATTCGAATTGAACGTGTTTGTGCCTGATTCGAGTTCGGTTAGAAAGCACAGAACACAGAGCAAACACGTACACACGTGAAAGGAGACGAAAGCAGGATCTATCGCGCGTGCTCGAAAGTGTCAGTGAACTCGAATTCAGTCGCTAGGTAGCCAACTCCATCTCGCGCGCGCAATTTTTTTTTTTCCCCACGAGGTATATCGTCTCCCTGGGCAAACATCCTCCGTAATTCGCGCGACCAATAAGGACGAACGAACCGTGGATGATCCACGCTAGACGCATAGAATGTCCATTTGCGAAAAAACCGGACGGATGCGCGGCGATAAAAGCGACCATTCGTAATTACCCGGTGTCCAATTTCAGACGTTCCGGGTCTGGGTTTTGGTATACTTGTGTTACCCCGTACGCGGGAGACTTTTCATGAATCAACGAATTCTACGGGAGAACAGGAAATGGAAGAATAGGGGGGGGGGGGGTTAATGGACATTGAACGACTCGAGGGGCAAAGAAGACCATGGATCAAGGGGGTTGGGGGTTGGAGAAGAATGTAAACTCCTGGAACATATTACTATTTGATAATTTCAACACATTTCCTCAGGATTGTTTTAAACGGAATACGTTTCCTTGGAGCACCAGCCGGACCTTCGGTTTTTTTTTTGCAGATTTCTCTTTACGACACTCCTGGCGTTCTCGTCCTTGTAATCCATCCGCCGTGCACGGTATCTCCTTATAGCCGCTTAACCGCAGCTAATATCTAATTTCTACAATAAAATAATCGTATCGAGGAACACCTATCGGATCGCTTAGGCGTGAGATAAAATCAGCAGTTTGCACGGGGAACACGGGAGGCTTTATCTGCTCCACGTTCCCATCGACGCGATAACACGGTGTAATTGCAACGCGAAGCATGAAAAACACTCGTTCAAAAAGCTGTCTATTCGAGCGTATTGATCTTGAAACTTGTAATTTTAAATCAACAATTATATGATAATCGACTTCGGAGAGTGCTTCCTCGGCCCTCCGGAGGAAACAACTCGACCCTGTTCTAGTTTCTAGTATAATAATAATTTCCTCGAGGATCTTCGTACCGTATAAAAGATAAGACGTTAATTTTAATCTCCGATAACTCACCGGATTCGCGATCTTATTAATAGGCCGCGATTAGTGGTTACATTTTGTAGCGTTCTAAATCCAGTTTCCATTATCTGTAACGTTTCTATCGAAGAGTTTGCCTACACGTTTTATTAACAATTCGCGTACCGACGGCTGCAACGGGTGGCATTCGAACAATTGGGTGCATCGAATGGTAAATACGCAAGTATTTCCACGCGTCGAGCAAAGATACAAAAATAGAGCCGACTCAGGAATGAGGATACTTCTGGCGGTTTTGTTGCGTCGCCCGCAAGGAACAGGTTCTCAGGGAAGATGGAAGTTACTAGAATTGCTGTAGTAAAGACACGCGAGGAGAAAATGTGGACGGAAGACATAATTAGGACGAGCCATCCTTCGTTTAAGTTTCCGAGCGCTAGTTGCGACCATTACGAATTCTGCGGCCTTGTTCTTCGCTCGTTAAATTTAATGCCGGCCAATTCCCTCGTCTGTCGTGCTCGCTTGCACGCTTCGCGGATCGTGGTGTTTAAGTAGTTACCTTCTAAAATCTGCTTTCACGAAAATTGACCGACCGCTTGATCGTAGACGCCGTTGAAAAACACGTTTTTCGTCGATTTCCATGCGAGAGAGCACGCTGGCTCCTCCGTGCCCGGGAATAATGGCGGCCGGGACAACAATGGACGCGCCAAACGTCGCGAGAAAAACAAATATTCTTAATTTACTCCATTTTAATCCGTCTAAATAACGAAAAAATACATTCGATTATTTTAGAGATTCTCGTCGCCTTTTCGATGCTCTGAACTTGGATACATTAATAAAAAAAACTTACTATTCTTAATTTACTCCATTTTAATCCGAGTCTAAATAACGAAAAAATATAGTCGATTATTTTAGAGATTCTCGTCTCCTTTTCGATGCTCTGAACTTGGATAAATTTTGCTTTCTACAGGTACTTATTCGATTAAATAACCTTTTGCTCTCGTGAGTATGTAAGCCACTAAAAAAAAAAGTTTTAACAAAAAATTGTCTATTTTTAATTTGCTCTATTTTAATTCGAGTCTAAATAACGAAAAAATGCATTCGATTAATTTGAAGATTCTCATCTCCTTTTGGATACATTAATAAAAAACTTACTATTTTTAATTTGCTCTAATTTAATTCGAGTCTAAATAACGAAGAAATACATTCGATTATTTTAGAGATCCTCTCGTCACTTTTCCGGTGCTCTGAACTTGGAAAAATATCGCTTCCTGCAAGTATTTTATTGAATTAAATAACCTTTTGCTCTCACGAATATTTAAGATACATTGAATGAGAAAACTGCGTATTATTTTTATCGATTGAACAGAGTAGAATTACAGTCTACTAGTCGTTAATAATTCAAGAAGAGTATGAAAGACACGAAGAGGTCTCCGTGATAAAATGAAACGTAAGTATGGTAGTAAAAAGAAAAGCAGTGCAATTACTCGTAGCATTCTGAATTATAGGATGAATTACGATTAAGATTATATATCACGAACGTTGATTGGACTTTCATACTCCTTAAGTGTGCTGCCGATCGTTTCACATTTTTGTTGCGCGTACTATACCTCAGAAGAACTATACAACGCGTATTAACGAATTAAGTTAATCAAATGATATCAGATGGCAAATAAAGATGTAAATAATGTTTATTCCATCGGTGAAAATTCTCGTCGAACGTATAATTATTTATTGAACAAACGTTATTAATAAATCGTTGCACGGAGTCTCTATTCCTCACATATTAATTTCAGTAATTTTTTTCTCCCGCTCGTACGCTATACTGTTTAAAAAAAGTCCCGTTGAAATCGGCGAAGAGGCACTCCAACAAGTTTGCCGCCATATTTTCTGAGTGGGACGTTTACGGTTGCACTCTTTTTGGACTCGTAAGTTTTCCGGCCATGTGCCATAACCCCCCTCCAATGTCCACTGACCTAAATACTCCAGTAGCGCTCCTAACAGAGCAAAGAATCGACTATTATATCGTGACTATTTTAAGAGTGTTTCGAACAGTGCAAAATATTTGTAAATTTCTCGAAAGTTCCCGAAAAGACTGTCTCGAATTTTTGTTTCCCGAGAATCGAGAAACGTTAGGCCAATATCACGTACGCTGTTAGGCTCTGGTGTGAACGAACTAATGGACGGTTGAATTAGTGTCCACGTTCGCGAGGTTGCTGGCCGCTGGAAGATACGCGCCAAGTACAGCTGAAATTATCGTACGATTCGTCGCAATCATCGACTTTCACTCGCAGTTAACGTTGAACCGCGCGCTATGACGAGTGTCTGGCGTAAATTACTTTCCTGTCCGAGCCTCTCTCACCCCTTGACCTTATTCTTCGTTTTCACTTCGCCGCGACGAACAAAAGGATCCCGTTCACGATCGAACGAACGCTAATTTTTCGACTTTTGCGCTCACGCGTCGCTCTAACAACCATTTCCTCGGAAAATCGTTTCTAACGATCTTTATTGTTCGAGAAATAAATAAGAGTGATTCTAAATTTTTCCCCGAGATACAGTGAATCTCTAATTAAAAATGGCGTTCCATCGTGTTGACAAATTAATCGTCCCCTAATCTTCGGAGCAGCAGATAGCACTTCCTGCAGAAACGTCGCCACGAGCGCCTAATGCAAACATCATATCGTTGTACCATAATCGCTTGTTATGCTTCCTTTACGATAACTCGATACAAAGTGATAGTTAGAAGGTCTCGCGGTCAACAGAAAACGAATACATACTACCAAACAACCGTGAAATGTTTACTAACGCGAGTGGTGTACCGATTAAAGGACAGAGTTTTGTCTGTACAGATTGTTGCTGCGGAGATAAAATGTGTATTCGTTACGTTTTATCTCGGTAGAAGCATAAAACAATTAAGCTGAAAAATTGATAGAGGGACGGATTAAAACGGATACCCCTCTATTTGCAGAGATGAGCGGTTCTCGACTTGGCAGGGGCCGGAGTGGCCGCCTGGCCGTATACGGGGGTTGCGGGGTGGTGGTTGTTCTTTTGGTGATTCTTTATCGCGCCGCCACCTCGGAGATGACCAGGCTTCGAGAACTTCACGTTCAGTGTGCTCATCAACAGGAAGCTCTCGCCGCTCAACTTCAAGGTACCGCCATTTTATTAATTTAATCCCCAAAAAACGTAAGAAGAGATGATAACTGGATGAATTTTTAAAAACACAAAATAAAATACCTCTCTAAATCGAGTCTACGTTCTTGACGAGTATTTTTAGATCCAAGCTTAAAGGGGGTGGCTATCGTGTAACTTACGAGCATTAAAGTGCAAATCAACGGATAGAGAAAATGCAAGTTGATAGACCTCTCCAATTAATTTCCAGTTATATTCGAGTACAAGATGCGATTGGAAAAGTCCCTGGCCGAGGAGAAGAACTCGAACGCGGCCGTGAAGCAAGATCTCCAGCAACGCGCCACTCGTGAGAAGTCGTTGCGCGACAAGGACAGCGTGGAGGCGATGCAGAGGTTCAGCTCCCTCCAGCAGACTTACAAGCTACTGCAGACGGAGCATCTGGATCTGAAGGAGGAGTGCAAGAAACAAGAGAAACAGGCACTGGAGGACACCAAGAGGCTGGAGGCTACGCTTCAAGATCTTCGCGGTCGCATCCGGCAATCGAAAGAGGAGAAGGACAAGTCTTTGGAGAATCTGAAAACCAAGTATCTCGAGCTGGAGACGGAGAAGACCAGGCTCGAGGAAAAGTATCAGGACTTGCTTAGGAACCATGGCAACGCCAACAGCACCATCGAACACCTTCAGAAGAAAGTCATTCAGCTTACGCTCGAGCTCGAGGATGAACGGGTAGGAAATCAACCGAACAGATTTCAATTTTAACCTGATTAAAGAAACACCAAATTCTGTACCTCGAAGTGTAATAATTGGTATTAGTAACGATAAAATGGCATTGAGAACATGATACGCTAATATTAGGAACATAACATTTGCAGTAAAGTAATTGAAATTTTACGTTTGAAATTTTTGTATTCATTGCAAGAGCACTCGTTAAGTCGTGTTTAGGAGCAGACATATTTTTCCTTTGCATTTTAACACTTTAACGGCCGCACGTATCACGCGAAAACCGTTGTCCGTCACCACTGATATTGCACACCAAAGTGAAATACACGAAGATGCTAGGAGTATTATTATAAGGAATTATAAATCTAACAAACATAATAAGTTGAATGTACGATGAAATAGTAATTGATACAGTAGATCACGCGCACGTGACAGCGGCCGTGAAAGTGTTAAGTTGTGGTAAGGTTTATTTCACTTGTAGAGAAAATTTATTTTAAACGACTGGGATAATAAAGATGTGGCCTTACAGCTGCCCCCGTCTATGAACTGGGCCATGCAGCTTGGAAACGGAAACGCGGCGAAGCATCCGAGTGGTCCGTCGCAGCAGCAACAGGTAAGTCCGCCTAACAACGGCGATAAAAATCCGCAGCCCCTACACGCGCCTATCGTACACCACGCAATCGGAGACCCCCTACAATCGAACGAACAGCGCGCAAACGACGAAACGAACGAGTTAGACGACGTTCGGTTCGCCCAGAGGAACGGAAACATCATACCGGTGGGTCCGGACGACCCGAAGGAGGCCCAACCGAGGAACTCGTTGCCGTTGCCCTACGACATGCAAGAGAGACGCCAGAAGAAGTTGGACGCTGGGTCGACGATGGTCGAGACGCAAGTCGAGAACGACAAGAACGAGAATCCCGACGAGGAGCAATTGAAATACGTGATACCGCCGCCTAATCAAAACAATGAGAGAACGGACGACAAAAAGTCGTCACCGAAATCGCCAGGGAACGAGATCCCGTCGTCGAAGCAGAATATCGAGTCCATTCCGCCGCGCGGGGAGAAATCCGTGGTTCCGGAAACCCCTAACAAAGCGGAAGAGAAACTCGATAAAGACCAGAACAATGGAGGGGAGATCGACAGAGAGATTTTAAACGAGTTCGGCGATTAATCATGGCACAGGTGAACCTGATCGAAGATCGGTCTGTACGAGTAGAACTTAGCGGCTACTGATTTCGCGCGACGTCTCGTAAAAGTGTTGGGTAAATAACGTTTATACGGGGAAGTGTCGTTGGTAACGTTTCACGATGAAATCGTTCTAGGGATGAAGTATCGTTTCGATGTAGATATCAGAGTGAAATTAAGTTTACGGCTCCTCCGGGTGACCGAATACACGTTAGCTCTCAGGTCTTCGCTGTAACCGTTTATGAAACACGCGGTAGTAATTTGTATCCTAACTTGTGAAGATTCGAACAAGTGCCTTCCAAGCACTTTAGTTATTTGCGCTTTACGAGGATCCGCAGTCTGTTTAGGGGTGAACCTGTTTTGGTAATGATTACACGTGCACGTAACATTTCGTGATTTGTACTGGGTGCTGTAGATAGATGATTTCTGTAGTCGAACAACTTGAAAACAATTGGCAGAACCACTCTTCTCCTCGCACCTTTAGAATATTGTTGTAGTTTGAATGTACAACGGATGATTTGAGAAAACCATGCTCGAAGTAAACGACTCGTTGATCTTAATGTGATCGAAAGGTTGTATGCGTTAAATGACAAAGGATATGAACAGTTTATTGCATGATACGACGACTTAACTATTAACCGACTATTTCAGTCTCTGTTTATTAACGTGAAAAGGGTTTTATTTATTTTTCAGAAATGGTACGAACGATTGAATCTCCTTACGTAAATTATCACTTTTAACGTACGTTTTGCAACGCGTATAAAGTTATTCTTTTACCATTTCTAAGTGATAGGGGAACTTAGTGCCAATAGCGTGAAATTCCGTGAAATTATAACGATCGTATAGCTGTTGTAAATAAGAGAAAAAATGAAGTACAATAAGAATAGTTAGAAGAAAAAGTTGCAAATCTCGTCTTTAATGTGCACCAAGTTTTAATCGACACGTGCATATATTTTCACGAACAGATTGTCCTTTTCATTCTGAATTTGGACATCAAAACTACGACAATCATGAGGAGCTATTTAATCCGTCTATATTGACTCATCAACGTGAACAAATCCACTAACACATTTTGTTTATATTACTTTAACGGCTGAAAGGTATATTAGGCATTAACATTTATTTTTATGTAGGCTTCTTTAAGGACATGGTCACGTGCAATATTTTACACACACGGTGTAACAAACGAACAAAAAAAAAGTTTCTAGTGATTTCTTGGCACAATTATTTTACTAATCGTGTGGGCCCAATCACATTTTATAAATTTGTATTATTATACTTAGTGATTTATATATGTGAACAAAAAAATGCAATAGGCTATCAAGAAATTAATATTGCTTTTATATTAATACGATATCTTTAGAGTTGGAAATTAAAAACTTCACGCTTCTCTGCATAAAATTAAAAACACTTTGCAATGCAAAACTGCACACGTTGCTTAAATATTCTCGATATCGATGATCGTGCTGTTCTTCACGCTTTAATTGCAATTAATGTCTTTCGACTGAGAATTAATATTAACGTAAATTTGTAAATATTTATTTGAAACATAGATGTAAATATTTACTTAACACGAGAATCCGTGTGCTTGGATCAAATTTAAATAAATACTGTTGTTTGTAACTTTTTCCGAAGATGCATTTAATTTATTGACAGCCTATTGGGAATAGAAGATGAACAATTTTGAGATGCTTTCCTTGAGTGAACAAGAAACTAAAAGAGACATGTACGTGTAGCTTGCAAGCTGTATTGAATGTGCCTGTATGTTCGTGTTAATTGATGCATTAATAAATTGTTATTATTTTAATCTGCTTGCATTTTTTCTGGCACCCTTGCACAACCTAACTAAACTGCTTCCATTATACTAGCCTGCTGTACCGAATAGTGATACGAATCTCCATCAAGTACATTATTTCGTTACAAAGTAAAAATAGATGAAAATCAAAGTAAAAATCGATTCTCATTTCCTTGCATTTTTAAAATTAAAATTTTAAACGGCTTTATGAACCGTTTCGAACAAGTTTAAATACGAGTCGTCGATTATAAACTTCGGTAATTAATATAGACCACGGAATTCAAAATTAATTCGAATTTTGTTCTTTTGCTTTTTCGTTTGATACAACTACTTTGCAGTTCCCTCGAAGTATCTCGAAATACGATTTAAATTGCTAAATAAAATGTAATTTTAAATTACTATTATCTCCATTAAGTGTTTACTTGTAATAATTTCTAAATGCAATGAAAAACTTTACTGTTAAACTGTGGAAGTAAAAATTCACTTGTTGTAAAGTAAAATAAAAAGTTAACCCTTCAGTAGCGATAGTAAATTAACTAAACCGAGATTACTGTAGAAATAATGTAACTGTTATACTTAGAAAATTTCACTCACATCTTTCTTATACTTCTCGTAGTTTCGTTTCTGTCAGGTAGTTTTCTTTTCAACGAGCAGCATGCTTTGTGCAAATTTCTTTAGTTACATGCTTCTGTAGCTTCGAGAAAGAGGCCAGTTAGATTTGAAAAACTGGCTATTCTTCTTCGCCAAAAGAATCTTTACAGGTAAGTTAATACTCTAAATTGTACTGCATTTCGTAACTCGACGTTTCTATCCTTAAACAGCTCTGCAAAAGAAAAACATTAGAAATTAGATGCTTTCAAATAGTATATGTTTTCAGAAACATCGCGAGGAAAAATGAAAACGTGTCAACGAATATTCATTTATATAACAATATCGGGATTACGACTGTGTATCTGCAGAAAAAAATAAAGTAATTTTAAGGATATTATTAGAATACGTTCATTAAGAATTTCATCTCCTGTAAAATTTATCTGCCCCTCAACTTTCTTCTTATAGTTTACATAAAACTTAATTTCACAGAATAGGAATCTTCAGCATATGACATTCAGAAAATATAGTCTATTTTATAATGTGAATAAAAATCCTAATGTACCGATAGACCAATCCCATTTAATTCTATTTAACTGAATAAATTTTTCAGAGCACTATGGCGACCAGCTCGATGAAGTCCATTACAGCGCTGAAGCTGGAGACATCAACCTCTCCGGGCAACGTCAATCCTGCTTCGACGGTCGTGGACAAGTCGCTTCCAATCGCGAAATCGGTATCGAAGGCTAAACTTCCGGTTGGCGTGCCGCCTATTCCGGTGATGATCGATCAGAAGCCCGAGAACCGCGAGGACAAGCTGGAGGAGGAGTTGCCTAAACAGAAGAAAGACGCGGAGAGCAAAGAGAACGAGGCTGAAAACGGGAACCTGGATCCTCCGTTGCCAGGGAAACGAAACGACGAACAGCTTCCGGCCAGACGCGAGAACGGATGGTACAACGTTGGTCCTGGCGTTCAGGAAGTTGGCGACGAACTCAGCCATCTTCGACTGTCTGGGTACACTCTTCAATTTTTGTCAACTCTTTCGTTCGAGTTTATAGCTGTAAAGCGTAGCAAATGAAAAGCAGATACCTCTTTTTAAAGGACCCCGCATAGATCTTATGGAAAATGGCCCCCCGGTTAAATTAGCTGAGCTTTGATATGATGTACTTCATTGTGTCTTGATGAAAAGTTCCAATGGGCCCAAAGCTCATACATTGAACAGTTTCCGAGATACAGGGGAATTAAAAGTCAACTTCCTCTTCTAGTTTCAGTTCATTTTCGGGAATGTGAGAAATTAGAACTTGATGTTTGGTACAATTCCGAAATTCTGAATAAACTTTTAGTCTTCTAAGGCTGATATCTACCAACGAAGTGTCGATCTGCAATTCATCATCATCTTTTTGCAGCAGAGGGTCAGGGGAGCAAGGGGTAATATTTAAGGGCCCACAGTACTACTATTGAGTTTTAAGGGGTCAAATAAATGGATAGCGTACAGCAGTGCTTCTTACACTCAAATATGCTCAAACTTGGTAGTCTAAAATAAGGCACACTATTATTGACTTTTGATCCCCTATATTTCAGAAACTGTTCAATTTACGAGCTTGGGCCCATTGGAACTTTTCATCAAGACATAACGAACTACATCATATCAAAAGTTCAGCTAATTTAACCGGGGGCCATTTTCCATAAGATCTGTGCAGGGTCCTTTAATTTTACTTGGTCGTCGACTTTTGACTTTGACCCTTAAGTTTGAGTTTTAGCCTCGTACGAATGTGGAAAAGTCAGCCTAAGTAACGACATCATTTCTATCGTTTTAGTATGGATAATGGCGCGGATCAAAATGGCGAGGCAGGCGACGAGCAGTACGACGGCATTGACTATGATAAAGAAACCCAACAGAAGAGTAGCGATCTGCATTTAGTCGAAGCCGAAGACGAAGGCGAAGGTAATTCGATTAAACTTTATATTTACGTATCAATATGTCGGGATAATTATTCATTAAATTTCTGTTCGATTGTTCCAGACGAGGACGATCAAATACTAGATTATCCGCATCACTTGAAGCAGGAGAAACACGAATGAGGAAAGGTGTTTACGAAGGTAATATAACGTTATTAAAGTATTAATAATTTTGATAGCAATTTAATTATTCGATAGACGATTAAAATCTGCAACGATACGCGCATGTAGATTAACTTGTTGATCTCCCAAATTTAAGGGTTTAGACAAAGGAGGAGCCGCACTCGAGAGAGAACCAATTATTATCAACAATTAACAGCTACGATTACTAACCTTTCACTTTGCTACAACTGGCCATCGACGTTGATTTACCGTAAACAAACAGAAAAAGACTTTCTCAAATAGGTGTATTGCTTTACTTTCTCTCCTCCGTATGTTCTCAATTGGGAAAATCTCGTACAAGGATCTAGCCAAAAAATTTAGATAGTCGATACTAAATGCAGATGCTATTATAAACCGCTGCTCGGCCGACGGGCAAATTGTATTTTTATTCAGAAATTTGTGGACAGGTTCGAGCAGCGCGTCGGTAGAAGAAACAGACTGTATTTTTCTAGATTTAAATCTACGGTAAGCAAAACACGAGCTAACACGATGAAAAAAATAAACTATTGCAAATGTCTACTTTTTTAGTGGCAGACTAAGCATCACGAAAATAGAAGCGTGTTCGACTTACTGTTTACGCATAGAACGTTATTCGAATCGATAATTCGACGGACACAATTGGATAATTGAGAAAATTTTTACGAATTTTCTTTGCACGGAATAAAAATTGTAGCCAGTGTTTATGAAACTGCCACTGAAAGAGTTCAATATCTTTCTTATCTTAAAGAGACACGTAAGTGGAGTTGCGACTTAAGTGCACTCATTACTTAAGCGACACGTTGAAAGTTTCTAAAAAAAAATATCGCGTTTCCATGACTTCAATTGGCTGAACATTCTTGTCGAAACTGTGCAATACGAAAGGTGCAAAGATACACGTGATTTATTTATTGCCTATAAGCCATTGTTCAGGCGCTAACAATCAAGACTTAACAGAATGAAAGGTACTACTTTAAGGAATTTACTACGAATATAGATTAATATTTGTTATGAGCGTAGATACTACTTATACACGATCAGAGCAGTGATTCACATGTACATAAGATTCTTTTTGTAATAAAAGATTAAAACAAATGGTTACTTTTGGTACGTCTCCGTCGATCTCCGCGCACCATAAACTATCGATTAAGTTAGAATTAGGACTGTTTGAAAAAACCTTTAAAAAAAAAAAATCACCGTCCGAGTTTAAATCAGACCCGATACTTTCTTCCTTCATTTTTCGTCAAGAACAATTTGTTGTCAAAAACTTGTAATTGCGAATAACGACCGAAGGTGAAGAAAAATATATGGTTTGGTATATACAAAGGAACAGTATTTATTCGAATAATGTACACTGCACGCACGTGGCATTCTTTTCAATGTTCGAGTGAGCACTACAAATAAATTGCAAACACGCATCGCATCTAGTGCTGTATTTGTTATCGTTCCCGACGCATATGTAACACCTCGAACGTTTCCGGTAGTCTAACGTCATCTCTTTCCTTTTCAGTTTTCTGCCCGTGCTCTCGATCGCGTTCACGACGTGCCTAGGAACTATGATATTACGATTCTCGAAATCGGTGGCGCGCCTCTCGATGTTCCGCGCGTACAGTTCGTTCCCCAGTTTCTCGAGAAACATCTCCCTCCGTTTTTTCATGGACACGTGGCTCTCCCACGCGGGATTCTTCGTAACCCACACGACGAACGCGTTGTAAGCAGCCATGTCGACGTAATTCAAAAAAAGCGACAACGGCCAGCGTCTGGTGGCTCTCCGGCACGAGTACTCTCTCAACAACGCATTGAACGTATTTACACCATTTTTCGTCGAGTTATAATACGAGATTATTTCCGGTTTGTAGTTGTCTTCCGGCCCGGACACGCTATGCTCGTGATGATGGCACGAGCTCGACAGCAGCACGATACACTTTCGAGGTTTCGGAATGTACGACACGAGGGTGAGGTTAGTCGTGTAGAGACAGTCGCACGAAAACCGTTGCCTCGAGTACGTGTGAACCATCGACTTCGGTAGATCCCTTTTGTCTTTACGCACCGTGCCAACGAGGAAAATTTTATTTTGCAACAGATCCTCGGCCAGACCGATATCCGTGAAGGAATTGTCTGTCGTGACGGTTCGTCCGGACTGATTCCAAAAATCGGTGAGTCGTCTAACCACTAGTTGACCTTGGTCGTTCTCGGCGATGTTTCTTAACCTCCCCAGGTGCACGTCGAAGTTACAACAATAAAACGTCTGCGCGTCGCAAAGCGTCCATAACTTTATTCCGTATTTGCCAGGTTTGTCGGGCATGTAAACCTTGAACGGGCACAAACCACGAAAAGTGACCAATTGCTCGTCCACCGTGCCCGCGTTCGTCGCGTCGTAAGATTCCCTGCAATTCACCGCGAATATGTTCGTCACGTCCCTGAGCGCCGCTAATTTGTCGTTAATTTTCCTTTCCGGCCTCGTGGTCCTATCGTCGAATCGTATGTATTTCAAAATGTCCTTAAATCTATCGCACGACATCACCGCCGCGTACACCTGCCTAGAGAACGCTGTGTTCTTCGTCCATAAACAGTTCTTAGATTCGTCCGATTCTCTGAATCGTCCGATGATCAATAAAAGGCCAAGAAACGCATTGATCTCGATGCGGTCTACTGGTTTCCATTGCTTCTGCGGTTGTTTACCGTAAGACTCCTCCGCTTTTCTGTTCGTATGCGTGACGATCATGTCGATGATTTCATTGTTGATAAAAAGGTTAAACGACTCTTTGATGGACTCGATATTTTCGCTTCTCCTAGTTAAATTACCAGCACGTGACACGTATTGCAATTGCTCCACGTCAACTTTACGTGGTATATAGCCCCATATACGTCCGGAGATAATCTGGTTTCTGTCGTCCGTGTCGTCCTCGTCCGACTCCAGGCCAGAGAACACGTCGCTTTCGAAATCTTGTAGCTCGGGTTTCGTATCGCTGTATGACGCAGTACTTCCACCGTCCGACGAAACTTCGTCGTTGTAATTATCTTCGTGATCCACGAGTTCACTGAAGGCACTGCTCTGGTTCATCGACTCCGACATCGTGGACGTTCTTGGTTTTCCCTCTGGAAAATCGTGTACACCGTAATCCGTCACTGGCGATCACTGCTATGTTAGAAACTGCCAACGGAATGCATCTTTTCAGAGGCGGGAACAAATCCTATCGGTCTGAAGTCTAGCGCGCGGGCGGAGAGGGGAGCACTGAAGCTCGAACAATGTAAACACATGGCCTAGCTCTGAGATAAAACCGTCCTGACGAATATGGGTCTCCGATGATCCGGCGTCTTGCCGAACAGCAGTCAACTTTTTACGATATCGAACATTCTTTTCGATTCGTACGAACGATGCCTATCAATCGACAGCGTCAACGGCCTCTTACTTAACAATTGTTTTCAACGATGTCCAACAACAAGTATCTCTCGATTGTCATATTTACACGTGCATCGTAAATCTTGTTCGTTTTACGAGCCGATAAATGTTACAACTACGTGTCTAGCGGCCAAGCATGCGAACTAAACTAACACCTGGAATTATGACGCTATGCAGAAGGGAGTGCGAGTTGCATTTCGTCGGAGCTCGTTGTAGTTCGTAAATATCACCGCAAGGTGGCCATAGCTTCGTTTGTAGATTATAGCTACGTTATAATTGATGATTTATAGGCAAACATGTTAATAAACATTTCGTTTCCGTATGTTCTATTCCATCATTGATCGATACCTCGTTGGAAATGTATATTATTTTTACAAAACAAGCATAAAATATTGTTCATGATGCAGTTAGTATTATCGAGAGTGGTCTTTTGATTTGAGATCTCTTGTTTTTTGGAAGTCCTTGTATAGCAAGGTTCATTTGTAACGGTGCATCAGCTAATCAGGAGTTTGAATACATAGATCAGCTGATTTAACCGGAAGTCATGAACTCTAATACGCATTCAGGCCGCGAAAGCCTTAAATCTCATATTGTTCATTATATCAATTACAATTATACTATCATGATAATAATGATTATAATTCTCTATCAGATTTTTTTTTAACTAAACAGTAAGCCCAAAAATATTAAAAACTTTGAACTACCATTGAAATCGAGGTCAATACAAGCAACTTGTATTACTTATTCACGATTAACAATTACGAATCAAAGATATTTTAAAATATAGTCCCACAAGAGGTTAACTTTTCAAGATAATAGATTTATCACAAAACAATAATAAAAAATAAGGCCGTAGATTATAGTTTCTACATTTTGACATTTCTTAATCTCGCAAAAACGAACGCAGGCTGCAAAACACGACGCCTGTAGAATATATCCACGCAAAAAGAGTTCAATTAAAAAATGGCTGACGGTAAAATGACCTACCTGAAAACGAAACTTATCTTACCCCCATTTGTCATAATTCCAAGTATTCGTTTTAATATCGCAACAAATTACTCTTTGGCAAAAAGAAATATTTCAAAATTCTTAAACTTTGATCAGTCTTTGGATGCCACGTAAAATCTTCTTCGACAAATTTTCAACAGCCACTCTTCTCTGGTCTTCGAAATTTCTCCTCAAGACATTTCCAACCGAATTGCACAAATTCTTTGCAACTCTTCAGCTTCGTGCATCAAAGTATAAACTTTGGAATTAACTTTGTACGTGGTCCCCTGTCCTTTTCAGCGGTACCCCGAGGGAGTTCTTGTTTTTCGAACGACGACATTTGCAATGTTTCATCGTGTTTTTTATGCCACTTTCTTTGCTGAAATTTTCACTGATTTGACTCCGGTTTGTTGGTCCCCGCGGGTATCGAAAAACGCGACTCTTTCGTCGATTCGAAACAGAGTAGCTAGTAGAGAGAATCAGCCGTCGATCGTGATTTATTTGATCTTTATTTCGTATTTGTACACGCCCTCGGCATGCCACATATAATCAATATAATACAGTCCAATGCAGCCAAGGTAGAAGTAAAATACAAAAAATATATATATATTTATATTCTACGTCGATAATTATTATTATTATTGTTACCACGATGTTATAACGCTGAATATATTATGAATAATAGCTAAGAATATCATACAAAGAAGAGTGCTGGTTACGGTAGGACACATAATTCGGATTGAACGCGGTGCGGTTTACGGATAATTCTTCAGCGTTTTCTTGAGATCGCTGAGAGAAACGGCCGCGACGATCATCGTTTCTCGGTCGTATCTCACTCCCTATCACCGTGTGTAACTGAAAACAACGATCCTCAAAATGAACGTTCGATAAACACAGCTCCCCTCGCGACGACCCGTCGAGAAGATTTACAAAGAAAAGCTCGAACGATCGATCCTCGTAAACGTTCGAAACAGAATGCAAAAGTTCCTTGCAACGTTACGTATGGCTATTGCGAATAAACGAAACACGTTTGAATTAATAATTTGCTCGCGGCTTGTCTGGGAACTCTCAGCGTTGCCAGAAAATTGGTGGAAATTGCGTTTAAGTGTCAGCACAACTAGAATGTATTGGCTACGTATTGCTATTGAATCGCGGGAAAAATAAAACGTTGATACTTTCGAAGAAGATGAACCATTCTCTCTTTCGATACGCAACGATCGTTATTATCCGGATAGATCAACCGCTACGCCTCCGGGGACCCCGATAATTTAAGCACACTGCTTACACAGCCATACACGTTCGGTGCACGTTTTTGAAAGCCCTCGAAATTTAAGGACTCGTTCGATTCTTGAATGTTTAACGTCCAACGAGCAAAGTATTATCGGGGGACGAGACGATGGCACGCCACCAACGAGTCAAACGACGGAAGAGGCAAGGGGGGTTCTTGGTTATTATTGGGCAAGTCGAGCACCAAGCCCTTAAACGAGCCAAGAACGATTCCCTTTGTCCCTTTCGTCGTTTCGTGGTCAACGTGTCCACATCTCGTCTCCCACTGGGTAATCACAGCTCGACCAGTGTCATTCTTCCGTGGGATCGGGGTTGCGTTCGTTGCAAGGATCGGAAGAAGAGATACGGGAAGATAATTCGTTGAAACCTTTCGAGTTTTCTGAGTGTCTTTATTAGAGCGTAGCCGGTAAGCGTTTTATGGCAGCTTTACGAGGATGACTTGGGGTAGCGACCGTCGTAAAAGTCATCGAAAAGAAAACCTAACCCAACGGTGAAACAACGATAAGACGATAAATTCATAATATTAACAGTAGTAGAGTGTAGCGATTGATTAACTAAGATAATTCAACTAAAAGAAATAAAGGAAAAAAAAAAATAACTAAGAAAAAAAAGAGTGGTAAAATCCTCCTGCGTGCTCTGTCATCGTCTCTTGCGTTCTTCTCGGTCCGGAGAAAATAAAAAGGGGGTGGGGGTGGAAAAAAAGGGTAACGCGTGGTAGGAGAACGGGTCGGTAAAGAGATAGAACAAAAGAGGGGAGAATGGTAGAGCGTAGATCGGCGGTGTTAAACGTTCCGGTTTGTCGTCGTAGCTGACAATGGTTTTTTTTTTACAACAATAATCGCAGGAGTATCGCGGCTCTCACCCATCGACCGCCTCGCTGACTGGAATAAACGCAACTACGTAACATGTGTCGCGGGGCTTACGATAGTTAGGTCTCTCTGTCGCCTCTCTTCTTCGTCCGTACGATTTTCCTGGCAATTAATAACTACGTCTCGTTTACAATGTTCTGTTTCTTTTTTTTTTTTACGCTAGCTCCACTCTCGCGCGACGCTAAACACTTTCTTCGTCTTTCTTACAATTTTTTTTTCTTTTCCTTTTATCATTCTTGTATTCACATGCGCGCGTTCCTCCTCCCACTCACTCTCTCTTCCTCTCTCGCACTCTCTATCACCCTCTTGTTTTTCCTCCGTCGTTTTAAATCTTCCGTGGCCAGGGCGCAACGATCGTTCGCGGGCGACTCTGTTCGTACACACGATGACCGCCCTCACGATTCGGTCAACTTTGTTCATCTGTCTTCACGAGGAATTTCTTTTTTCTGCCTTTCTCTCTCTCTTTCTATATATATATATATATATAATATACTTTATAAAATACATTAGTTTACAAACAACGTGGATTAAGTGCCGACGTCCCGCGGGAGTTATCACAGCTCAGGTTCGATCGTGGAACGGCTCGACTAAGAACTCTACCCGGACAAACTAGTGGAAGAACTCTAAACTCGAAAAAACGAAAGCATATCTCAGTTTCGTTCGCGCCGCCGTTCGCCTCGACTATTCGTTAAATATCGCTGCTAGTGTGTGTTTTTTTTTTTCATTTTTTCATTTTTTCTCTTCTTTCGAACCGAAGGGTCAGCTTTGAACGCGCCTGAGGGCTCCTTCGAACGAGATACTCGGCGGTGAGGCACCAAGTTGTACAGTCAGGGCCCGACAGACTGCTATTATTCGCCACGTTTCGTTGCATACAGTCGCGACAAAATCGACTCGTCGCTCGAGGCCACTTCCCCCGCCATAATCGCGCCAAACATGCGGTGCATCGTCGCGTGTAGCCAAACGGTGGGGACAGTTCCTCGGTGGCCTTGACCAACCGATATAGTGACTCGCAAAATATCATAGATCAGTGTTTCTCAAACTTCTAGAAAGTTGTATGGTTCTTTTTGGGATTTGTTTAATACTGTTTAACCCCTTACTGTACAATGACGAGCCTGACTCGTTATAAGTACTTGATGTTAAGTTTCACGATCATAAGGCTACTCGTCACCGAGTCTTATGTATTAAAATCAACACGTTTTTACATTCACGAGGTATTAAGAAATCAAATCTATTCTTTTCCATGGCCATTCCTTGTACGAGCAAATTTAAACAAAATTAAATAGTATAGGTTTGAAAAATTACATTAAATCGTACGTCAAGGGGTTAATAATGAATCAACTCTTTTATCGAACAGTGATTCATAAAATTCATAAAGAAATTCATAAAAAGGATAATTCAAACAGTTTCAGACGTTGCAAATTTTTAAGTTTTATAGTTTCTAGCTTTTGTCTCCAATCTTTTTTCTGAGCTCCGTGGGTCATAGTTTGAGAAACACCGACGTAGACAGTACAAGAGGCGTTGAGTCTTTTTCAAAAAAATTCGGCGGTGTTTGCCTCGTGGGATGGCAATCTGAAAAGGAGGAAGGTCTGCGTCTCGTCTGAAAGAGGCCCAAAAGACGATATTTTTTTCTTTACCCCTAGCTCTCTGTATCGTTACGAAGGAAACTAGTGCTAGAAACGTAGGGCAACGGGATCGTGTTACGGAGCTGCGCAACCGACTGGCAGAGACGTCGATCATCAGAACAATAAGACTATCTTATCGTGCTACATACATATTTACAAAGCCTCCGGCACGGAGGCGTCCTCCTTCCATCGACTTTTCCCCCCCGAATCCGAAACGTGCACTAACGCAGGAAGCAACGGGAAGGCGCGTTCGCTTTGAGTACAGCTCTTTCGTTTTCCTGCTTGGATGCTGACCGAAACACTCTCTCGCTGTCTCGCTTATTCCCCTCCCGGGTGAAATTGTTTAAATAAATATGTTTTTTTTTTATCTATTCGCGCGGCAGGAGGGCGGTTTACGCGAACGCGAACTCGCTCGATACCAATGCGATTCAGAACACGGCTATGATATCTCTGGTGAAGTCGTGGGGTAGTGCATGTTCCGGATGTATCTACAATGAGGCAAGATCCTGTCAACGAATACCCTCTTTTTTTCCCCTATTCATCAGACATCGGCTGAGCCTATAACTATATCTTTCCACTCTTCGAGGTTGCGTCGATACCGAACACGAAGAACGTACAAAGAATCCTGAACGGGGGGTTGGCTGCATGATTTGCAAAAATATTTCTCGACTATCTCCCTACGTCTTGCGTTTCATATTTTTTTCTTTTCGTAATTTTCCAAATACTAACTTGTTAACGATTCGGCGGGGGGTGGGGGGTGGGGGGAGGCTAATATTTTTTTTTTCTCAACTGGTAACTGTCGCCGTTACGCGAGGACAATTGGATGGTATAACCCTTTTTTTTTTTTACTCTAGCGGATAAATCTGTTAATTTCCTTTCCGTTCTCGTAACGGAGGGACGATGCATCGTTCTCGCGAGTGAAAACAAGTTCGGATTAAAATCGCGTCCAGTCGGAAATGAAGAGAAGACGGTTATGTGAAACGAAAGTTTTGCTGTTTTGTTTTAGTTTCGACGGACCAAAAGGGGAATGAAAAATATCCGGGTCGTTGCAGCGACGTTCTTCTTCTACCTTCCTCTCACGTTCGGACCCGGCACACGTCGACAATGTATCGGCTCGTACGGAATAATAAATCTGATAAACGAGAAATAACGAGTCGTTACAACGTCAGGATGTTCTCGGACCACAATCTCTTGCGAACCCTCGCCCTCTCGCGTCCCTACGTATCCCTGGAAAAAAGCACAAGTTCATAATTCCGAAAATCTGAAATTCACGGAATTAGACATTCTTCGTAATTATGATTCAAAGTAATTTGGTCAAAGAAGTTTAAAATTTTTAAATAATCTGACTTAATTTTAGCTTTTTTTATTAACAGTTCTTAGAAGAATTAAATTGTTTCTTTCCACTTCTACCTTGCGTATGAAAAAGTGACAAAGAGTAATTACAGTAGAACTTGTATTTGCGAATAAAATAATTAATGTGTGTACAGGGTATTTGGCTACCTCTGTAAAAAAATTTTAATGGGAGTTTTAACGCGCATTGTTTGAATTTTGAATCATTAAAATCCTCCAATCCGTTTAGAAGTTATGATTTTTTAAACATACGCATGAAATTTCGGGGAAACATTTTTGGCCACACAGTATATTTTCGGTAAGGATTTTTTTTCTCGAAATTGCGTAGGATTTCGAGGATATGTCTATTCACCAAAAATGATCAAAATTGACTCCAGCAACCAAAAATAATTTTTCCAGAATGATTTAAACCTTTTCAATTTCGTCGAAAAATTAATACTCGAATTTTTTTCTCGAAAGTGCATAGGATTTCGGGGGTATGTCTATTCACCAAAAATGATCAAAATTGACTCCCGCAACCAAAAATAATTTTTCCAGAATGATTTAAACCTTTTCAATTTCGTCGAAAAATTAAGGCACCGACTCGAATTTTTTTCTCGAAAGTGCATAGGATTTCGGGAGTATGTCTATTCACCAAAAATGATCAAAATTGATTCCCGCAACCGAAAATAATTTTTTCAAAATGATTTAAACCTTTTCAATTTCGTCGAAAAATTAAGGCACCGACTCGAATTTTTTTCTCGAAAGTGCATAGGATTTCGGGGGTATGTCTATTCACCAAAAATGATCAAAATTGATTCCCGCAACCGAAAATAATTTTTTCAAAATGATTTGAAACTTTTCAATTTCGCCGAAAAATTAAGGCACCCACTCGAATTTTTTTCTCGAAAGTGCATAGGATTTCGGGGGTATGTCTATTCACCAAAAATGATCAAAATTGATTCGCGCAACCGAAAATAATTTTCTCAAAATGATTTGAAACTTTTCAATTTCGCCGAAAAATTTCAATACCTGCTCGAATTTTTTTCTCGAAAGTACATAGGAATTCGAGGATATGTCTATTCACCAAAAATGATTAAAATTGACTCCCGCAACCGAAAATAATTTTTTCAAAATGATTTGAAACTTTTCAATTTCGCCGAAAAATTTCACCACCTGCTCGAATTTTTTTCTCGAAAGTGCGTAGGATTTCGGGAGTATGTCTATTGACCAAAAATGTTTGTAATTGACCCCTGCAACTAAATATAATTTTCTTAGCATGATTTGAAATTTTTTAATTTTGTCTAAAAATTTCACTACCTACTCGAATTTTTTTCTCGAAAGTGGGTAGGATTTCGGAGGTATGTGTATTCACCAAAAATGATTATAATTGACCCCCGTAACCGAAAATAATTTTTCCAAAATGATTTGAAATTTTTTAATAACTTTTTAACCAAGCCTCAAACAAATTTTGGCGTCTAGAATCTTCCATTAAAATTTTTCCCAGGGTTTGTCGAACACTCTGTACAAAAAGCACAATGTAGAGATAATTATATCAAGCATATGTTCTCTTCAGAAAGGAAATTATTATAAATAATCATTATTTTAAAGTGAAGCAATTATACTTATAAAAAGTTTTATGATACAATGCTCAATTAATTTGGAAAACTGTACAATTGCTATTACCAACGTTATACATATTTTTTTCCAAGTTAGATTAAAACATGGTAATTATTTCCCTGAAGAGTATGAACTATGGAAATAAGAATCAATTTTATAATATGTTCAAATAAAAAAAAACGATCGAATGTAAAGCATTTGAATAAGGGAGAATCGGATAAAGAAGGTTCTACAGTAATTATGATGTTTGAAACAAACACGTTGTTCGTTGTGCAAATAAATTTACAAGGGCTTAAACGTTACCTTAGAATAACCTTCTCCATCAGCATAGACAAACGGCCCTCCGAGTGATTGGCAGGAAGTAAGGACTTAAGGAGTTCTCTGATGAGGGCTTCGGTCATTCCCGGTGAAGTGCGTTCCGCTGTCTCGAACGCACCGCGTAGCTCGTCTATCGCGCCTACATTCTTACGAATACCACTTCCGCCCTCGCCATTATTATCTCTTGCCGAATATTGATGCTTCCGTTGAAGCTGCGGCAAATAAAGGGAACAAAAGATGTATTTCAAAGGCGGCGTAAAATCCACCTTGTCTTTCAGAGCAACGGGCGAGACAAAATATTGAGCTACTTTCAGGTTATCGTACCAGATCCAACAATAAAGTTTCGAGAGTCATTTTGTTTCCATTCTTCGTGAAAGCAGTTCGCTTGCTGTGCAGTTCAAGCCTCCATTTTTTTTTTTAGCGTTCACAGATGTTTTTGAGTATTCACTCTCAATTTTAAGCGTTTATTCTCACCTTTCCAGTGTTTGTTCTTAATTTTAAATTTGTTATGATCTTAAAATCATTATCATTTGTTATTGACGAGACCTTTGCTTCTCTAAAGTTATCAGGCAAAGTTACTTTCGGAGTGGACATTTTTGAAAATTAAACTTTTAGTCGAATTTTATTTCAATAACGCTAATTTATAAAATATGAAAGTTTTATTCATAAAATTTTCTATAAAATTGTCGTGTGTTTTTGTAGAATTTAAAGTTTGGCCATTTTTGTATTTATCGAAATTTTTAGTTTTCCCTAGTTCCTGTTACAATACTTCCTCCCTTTCTGTATCCGATAAAAGGATTAAATGGGTCGAGGATAGAGCTAACAGAGCATCCTTTTTAGAAGAGCCATTAAACAAGAGGCTATAACAACTACGATTTTCAATATTTTTGGATGAAAAAATTACTGCACGTACTTGCAAGATAAATAAATCTGCCAAATCTCGATACAAAACAACCTACTTACCATTAAACAAAAAATCGCTAAACCGAATAAACGACAATCTAGACAGAATTCGTGTCGCTTGTGAGGGCGCTCGCCCTCTGGTGGCGAGCACGGGAGGCGACGCCACAAAGTTCATCGAAAAATTCATTAAAAATCTCCTTCTTTGCAACCCGTTGGATAAGTACACGCAATAAATTGTTCGCCGATCTCTGTTGTGGTTCATTTACGTAAGAAAGCTATTTACCTCGGAAAGGAGAGGTAAAACGACGTCGGAAAGAGCCGCGCTTCGCGGATGCTTCTGTTCCTGCGAGCTTCTCGGTCTCTGTTTGTCTTCGCCGGGCCTGTGGTCTACCATAGGTACGACAGGTACGTCTAGTTTGCTACACCTCTTCTCCTTCGAGCCGAAATCCCTTTCCTGGACCTCTCTGTCCCTTTCTCGGTCTTCTCTCCGCAGCCTCCTCAGCGTCGAGTCCCATTCGGCGGGTGCCAGTTTGCTACACCTATTCTCCTTCGTACTGAAATCCGTTTCCCGGACCTCTTTGTCCCTTTCTCGAACTTCCCTCCTCAGCCTCCTCCGCATCGAGTCCCAATCGTCAGGTACGTCTAGTTTGCTACACCTCTTCTCCTTCGAACCGAAATCCGTTTCCCGGACGTCTCTGTCCCTTTCTCGATCGTCTCTCCTCAGCATCCTCAGCGTCGAGTCCCAGTCGACGTCGCGGTAATCGCGATCGTCCCTTTTCTCTCGCGTGTCCACCGGTGGCGGTGGCGCAGCCTCGTGCGGCCGTGACTGGAAAATACAATGTAAAATTGTTATTAAAAACAGTGATATGGTTGCTCCGATCGCTCAATATTCGAAAACGGCGATTTAGCCGCGGAAAAGTCCAATTTTCTATCATCACATTTTACTTTAGGTGCTATCAAGTTTGTAAATCCTTGAGGATCATCGAAACATTATTTATCCATAGAAACTGCTTAAAAATAGGTTAATTTTTACTCAGAAACTCGACGTTTCTATTCTTCTCGAAAATCTGTTTCTGCAGTTCATATTCTCCCTCTAGCAAAGAATTTATTTTTTACTGTATGAATCTTGCACAGGAAGGTACATACTTTATTTTAGGATAAAAACAATTCATCAAAATTCATTATAATTTTAAACATAGGTAATAAAAAAGAACCAATTTTATAGTAACTTAACCCAACTTGTAGTTTATGTTCATTTCTTTGGTTTTGAATCCTATTCTTATTATTCCTATTTTCTATTATTTCCTGCATTATTTACATAGATTATATAATTAAGAATGTTATGCATAGACTGCGGATTTTTATGCATATTCATATATTTATTAATAGAATTAATAAAATAAAAGCTTGGTAGAGGGTTGTTTCAACCCCTAAATACAATAATTCTTATCTTACTTGAAGTATTTGTTATATTTTTGCATATTAAATGCAGTCTATAGTTTTTTGACAATCTAAATTTCCCATAAATGCATAAATATCCGCAGTCTAGTTATGCAGCAGTGAAACTCTCATAACAAATACATTTCATCTTGTTCTTTAATTAAATAATTTAATTTTCATTTAACATAGAATAATGTAAAAATTATTAAGCGAAATTAACGTTAACAGTGTCAATAATCGTTCGTGGACTTGTTTTTGAGGATTTATGCACTTTAATCGTCGTTTTCGAACACTGTGCGACTTGTTTGAAGAGAGAATGCTTATTTCTCTGTCCATTTTACTAGAGGAGCCGCTCCAGTACAGTAATCCATCTCTAATGTTCGCATTTCAGGCGAAAAATGCTTTGTAGCTCATTGTAATTTACAATCGTAACGCTGTACGATATATCAATCCCTTTCTAACGTTCGCTTGCTCGTGTCTGTCACGCGACCGTTAGAGAGGGAGGTACTAAAAAATTGTCGACCGTTATCTCCGTTAAACCTGATCGTAGACGAAAGCGAGAAACACTGAGAGCAGCGAGTGAAACACAGAAAAATGTTCAAAGTTTCTTCACATTTCAAGTTTTAAAATCATCAAGAGGTCAAAGTATGCAAGTATGATTTTCGTCTCGTAGTTCAAGTTTATAACAAGAAGGCTGTCGATACGATATTTTTAATCGCTTTGCATCCCTTTCGTGTGTATAATTTGGAAAACATCAAAATGTTATTTTCGTTCTTTGATGATGATGGCGACTTGGAAATAGCATGGAATCGGTGGGGATTTCGCGAACAATATCGTGGGAAAGGCGAACAATAGCGAGGTTGCCTGGAGGTGGTCTAATCTGAACCAGGACACGGGGTTCTGTTTCGAATAATTATCTCAGAGAGTCACAAACGAATATTATTCCATGGAACGAAGGAGCCTTTTGGTCGAAGCACGTTTCAGCGAAATGGATAATCGCGATCGTAGAGAAAAGTACTCTTACCGGCGTGTGCTTTGCTTGGCCATCGCGCACCGAGTCCCGCGACTCGCTTCTATAATGATTCAACGTGGAATCCTTCGGCGGAGACCTCGAGGCTCCGTTGGCATGTGGTTTCGTTTGCTGATTGTCATTGGAGGATCTGTGATTCGAGGCTGGTTGCTCGTCCAGTGGCAGAATCGGCACCACGGAACCCTTCACTCCGTGTGGACCCTTCACGGTCATTATCCATGGCTCGTCCATGTCGCTATCCTGTTTCGATTCCTCCCTGACAACAGAAACAACCATCATCACACCATTTCTCGTTACTATGCTTGTGTATGTACCTATGTTAGTCACGTGGGCAATTGGGCCTTATTTTATAGCTGGGAAAATCATAAATTCTATCGTTGGAAGACTTACAACGACCACACCCTCGAAACTATTTGGCGACCATTATTAAATCGTCATCGAACCATAACCATAAGCTGTGGGTTCAAAGCCCAATAATAGATCAAGACTGTAACAGTTACAACAGATACAAACAAAACCATGTCAGCGATGTTCACGTTTGACTACTACAAACTCGAAGTTGACGATCCAATTTTTCCTTTCGAACGATAGTATGTAAATTATCGTTGGTCCAAATGTAAAAGACAGGCGTCGATACTCACGAGTCCGAATTTTCGCTCTCGGTCTCGGATTCCTCGCTGCGCTGGGACTTCCACTTCTTGTACCGGTCTATGAGGTCGATCAGGTACGAGTTCTTTTTCGCCTTTCTGATGAACTGGAACTTCAACAGTTCTTTCGCCGTCGGCCTCTGAAGCAATCAGGAAAAAGAACAATTGACCGCGCGGTCCGTAAAGGAACGAGAACGTATTCGAGGAAGCAGATACGAAATAACCGAGTGCGCAGGCTAGCTTTCGGAGGACATCTCACGGTGGGTTCTCGGGGCCGGAAGCCGCTGACAAAAGCAGACTGCAAAGATTGTTCGCAAAGTACGTGCTGGTAGAATGGGAAATTAGCAGAGCCGTCGCGAGCACGTAACCGCGTCTCGCTGGATGGAGATCAACTCACGTTTTCGGGGTCCTTGTTCAAACAGGCCTCGACGAACTCCTTGAACTGCTTCGTGTAATTTCCAGTCAGTTGCGGGGGATTGTTCTTCGGTATGAGGAACAGGACCCTCATGGGATGGAGCTCGCTGTTCGGCGGTTCTCCCTTGGCCAATTCGATACCCGTGATGCCCAACGACCAAATGTCAGCCTGCGGAACAAGCGTTACCCGTTTTACGATCCTCGCGAGGCGTTAACGAGACGCTAATGACTTCGTGACCGCTCTTTCCGCCTTCCAGATGCCCGTCGAAGGGGCCAAGCAGGAACAAGAGGTTCTTTTTATTATTAGGTCGCGCGACGAGCCCGTTATTTTACGTTATTACATCAAGATAAAGTAACAGTAACCATATTTCATATTTAAAAATTATTGCGGTCAAAATATATCAACCATTCAATTCACCTTGTCTTATTTGATTTCTATTTACAATCATTAATATCGAGGAAATCAATACACAAATATCTGGATTTTTTAATATACAGAGCAATGAATTTTAATGTAAAAGGATATTTAAATTATCCAAAAGATAGTAGAAGATCGCAGAATAAAATTACAAATGAGGTAAAAAAAATTCATGGTGAACCAACAAAATACTATCTTATATTCATATACTTCACAAATAAGATGCAATTATGAAATCGTTCGAACATGAATCAAATAATTGACATTTTCGAGACGTGTCTTACAAATACTGTTAAAATTGTTGCACGTTTATTGAACTGTTTTGAAATCTTGCATATAACTGCCCTCTTGTAATCCTTAAATACTTTTATATTTAATTATCGTATATTTCTTTCACGGTTCTATTTCCATATTATATTTGATTCCATTTCTCGCGCAATAATATCAATTCTGGATGGACGTGTACACTCTGAACAATGATTACAAGCATAGAGGAAGTCAGAAATACAGACACTAAATAAGAATAGCTCAAGAAACAGAATAATTTGCCACATCGCCTTTTTTTCGCGCGGAAGTAAACCCCGAAATGGCGGCGACTCCTATTAGTTATGCTATTCTCGTTCGTTACGGAGCTAATATTGGCTTTGGGAACGACTGCATGGTCAGGAGAGGCGGGATTAAAGTTTCCAGAAGTTGTTTTCCCCGGACAACGAAACCGTGCTAAAACCGACCAAGTTAAGTTAGTGGCGAGAAATGAAATTAAATCTGCAGGATTACGCGACCCCCCCGCGGTTGTAGCTCGCAAATATTGTCTTCGAAACTATGGTAATGAGATTAAAAATATGCTCCCCCTCGACTTTAGAGACCGCGTGTTCACCTTTGTATCCCGTTTAATTACCTTGGCATCGTAGGCGGATTGTTTGATTACTTCCGGTGCCATCCAGAACGGTGTCCCGACGAAGGTGTTTCGTTTGCTGGTCGTGTTGGTCAATTGTCCAGCCACACCGAAGTCGGCCAGCTTCACCTCCCCCATTTCGCTCAACAGAACGTTCGCAGCTATTGAAACAAAATACGACTGTTATCAAAACGATCCCCCGATCCAAATATTGAGTTGTGTAATTCGTTCGCGTTTCTTTTATAAAAATGTTAAATACTGACTATTTTGTTCCTGGACCTTCTGTAATTTATTCCTTTATAATTTATAACGCCTTGATAATTCCTTTGTAATTTAGGCAATTTGTTCCTTTATTCAAAAATTTAAACACAAGCGTTTCCAAACGATTTTTTTATTGAGAAAATTTTGAAAGGTACGAAATATCTAAGGTAAACAGGGTGAAAAATAACTCCTTTTTTTGATATCTGTAATAGCAGTGTTGCATGTATGATTTTAATTGATCCAGTCGTGAACAGTATTTTTCACTATTAACCAATTGACGTACGATTTAATTACAAATAATTTTTCAAACATATGCTACTTAATTTTGTTTAAATTTGTTCCTACAAAAATGGCCACGAGAAAGAATGAATTGATTTGTGTTGATTTTAATGTGTAAAATATGTTTTTTTTATGATTCAGGTATTTAGTTTAATACAGTAATATAAGTTTGTGTATAGATATCACTAACATCTAACTAACATCCTTCATAGTAATAATTATTTAAACTATGTTTATTGCATAAATAAATTAGAATTTTTTTTGTGTTCAGAACCGTGTATCTACGACAATTTTGCATTTTTTAAGGAGGATTTTAGTTCATACGACGCGTAGCACTATTATGAACAAAATGTCGTTCGATAACCGTACAAAGTCGATAAACCGTAATTAAAAAGAAGTATTTGTATCTTGAAATGTTAAAGAATACACGTGAAAAGTCATCAAGATCTTCTGTTATAAAAAAATTGTGAAACATCCCTTCTCGTTTTACCATTTTACATAAGTCTCCCCCGTTAAGAGACATTAAAAGCTTATTATTTTTCGCCTTCTTCTTTTTCCAGTAAATGCACCTTTAATATCGCGATGAAGCTTCCGCTCGCTGTGAAGATAATCCAGCCCTTTGAGCACCTCGCGCAATATCACCGCGATGTGCATTTCCTCGAAGCTACCGGCCTTCATCAAGTCCAGGGCCGAGCCGCCACCCAAGTACTCCATAATAATCCATAGTTTCGTACCCTGCAAACAGAGAAAGATTCACGGCTGTACGCATCCGTCCGAAAAACGCTTCTGCGTCTGGAAACTTCATCCCCCCTTTTTGGCTTCGAAACTGTCGGCCATTTTGTTCGATGCCCCCCAACAGTGTCGGGCAAAAATGAATTCTTTTAATGGGGCCTTTCTACTTTGTGGTACTAATCTTTCGATATACGAATCGACTTCGGATTAAACAAATTAATAGCTACCAAGTACTCCGTATTCATCGTCGATGTTTAACAAAAGCAATGGGGGTGAAGCTTCCATTTCGAACATTTCATCGAAAATAAATCCAATATTATTCTCGCAAATTTTAATAGAGAAAGTATATGCCTATATTAGATTATCTATTTTAATATGAACAATTTATTTTTCTCTAGAATTATTCGAACAAGCTTTCATGTAAGTAAACTTTTGTTCAAATAAGAATTTACACTGTGTCTACAAATGGAAGACAAATTTACATAATATGTAAATCGTGTATTTAAAATTACAAATATGTACGATAGATTTAAAATATACCAATGATATTGTTATTATTCGTCTTAACATACTTTGCTACATTTTTAAATTAAATTTCACTATTCTCGAACAAGTAATGTAAATTTTGTTGGTACTTTCCCTAGAATTTTTATGAAATGACTGTGGTTTGAATAAAGTTCACAAGTTTTTATTTAAACCTTGTATACATAATTCTTATACGACAAAATGATCCTTCATCCTGAGAGTATAATGAATCAGTCACTAATTATATAATAATTATACTTTTTAATTCAGTATCACCTACATCTTGTTACTTGAAAATCGATGTTTTCTTTTTATTTGACCATACAACGCGTTTCTAATTATCGACTGATCAGTTTCCATATTTTTCTTTGTTGCAAAAGTTATATTAGCTTTAACGTTTTGCTTCGATAATACGGGCTTTTCTTCTTTCCAATTACTTAAAAACTAATTTCTTTAAGAACTCTTACAAGCCCCCATTAGCCATAACGTACACCTACGCTCTTACTTTATTCTGTCAATATTTTGCGATGAGGATCCAGGAATGACGTAACAATATTTTCTCTCTCTAATCATACACTTTCTGAGACACTTTACTAATTGGAACTCTCTCATATCACAAAGAAATTATTCTCGTAATCATATAATGGAATTTTATGAAAAATAGTAAACCTTCCCTTTCCTTTGGCAAAGCCATTGTATCATCGCTATAAAACTTCTTTGATTTTGTATTAAAATGTTTCTTTTTACATTTATTGTGAATCATTATTATATTTCCCTTCTGTAACAATACAGTTTTAAATTCGTTATTAATTATTAATAATGCCGTGGACTTCCAACGACGAGGGCTCGTTTTATCCCTGGCTATTTACTATTCTAACAGCGACTCTACTAACCCACAGCTATTAAAATTATTACAAAATATGTATTCGATCATGTACACATACAAATAAATTAATGTTATTTATGGGAAATTTTAATTCTGAAGAAACTAATGCACTCAATACGCAAAAATACAAGCAACGCTCAAAGTAAGATACGAATTATCTTATTTAAGGATCGAGACAACCCTCTACAAATCTCCCATCTAATTAATTCTATTAATAAAAATACGAATTTCTAATTATCAGAAATAGTGTTTCGAAAATATCCAGGCCATAGTTAAAGCAATCTTCTACAAAAATAGCAAATAAATCGATTACCGTTCAATTCTGATTACCAATTGGAGGGACGCCTGTTCCAAATATACTAATTTTAAAATGCACCCATCCGGGATCGCGGCCAATTAGCGAAAATAGACATATTCTGATTCGCGAAAATGATCTATTTTAAGGGGTAAAGTGAGGGGCCTTGAGACGAGTTGACAGAGCCACTTCCGGAATCCTCTGACGCGAAATGGTCAGTGAAAAGAGGAGGGAAGGAGAACTAGATCAAATTTAGCTTTCATCCTGCGGCACCAGCTCCTGACGCGTTGGCGGTTTTTTTTACAAATTACGTTTGCCATTCGCAAACGGCGCGTCTTCGTTGGTAGACCATCAATCTTTGTTGCCCTAATGGCCGTGCCAACGCAGACCGCACCTTCCGCGATAATTATATCCGACATCGATGTCCAATCGGTGTGCTACCAGCGTTACGCATCGGCGTAAGGCTGACTCATCGATTTGCCGATAATCGACGAGATTAATCACTGGCTCGCACAAGGATGTTCAAGATTCCCGCTCTTTGGTCACCGGCTTGTGAAGGAATCACTAAGCGCTATCGAAACAGGATGATGACTCTGGTACAACCGAGGGATGATCATCTTCACGCTGCGGAAGAAGCCAAGGCAACGGAGACAAATAAACGGTTCGATTGGATCTAGCGACGATGGATCGATTCAATCTCTCAACGATGGATAATTTAAACTTTTTACTAAACTTTTAAATATTTAAAATTAACAAAATAGCTAAAATCACAGTTAAAATAACTTAAATCACAGTTATTAAGACTGGGAGGTGTTTTATTTTCGGACTCCTGACAACGTCCTGTTCCCTCTATATCCTCCCACAAACGATAATTTTAGGTCTCAGTTGTCAAAATAGATACGACAAAATTGTACAGAATTAGATTCTGATGAATACGAGACCACCAGGTCGATTAGAGGCATTTTTCCAATTGTTTTTTTTACCCACAAAGCTAGCTCGATATCTGAAATGTGTGACATTTAAATTCGAGTTCTCTCTGCATATTTAAATTATTGTTGCTGAAATTAAGTCTTGGCTTCATCAAGTTTTCGTGGATTTTTTACTTGCTTGCTTATAAGATCGTCATTTATATGGTTAACATTATTATAAATCATATCATTCTTATCGTTTCATTTTTCTGCACTGTATTATACGTATACTCAAATGGGGTTACGTGGAATAAATTATTATTATTATAGAGGTATTTTCTTGAATTTTTTACAGGAAATATGTGATATTAAAATTTCAATGATAGTCGAATATTCAAATGGTAAACAATTCAAATAGTCTGGTTCCAGTTATTACGAATCTTATCGTTTCCTTTAATAATAAATAATGCTCATGACACATAATCAAAAACTATCACATTCTCTCGTACGAATTGACCAATACTATGTACACCGACTATTTACTTTTTAACCATTTTGTTTTTTTTACGTGAAAATATTTTTTTAAATTAAGTTTTCTATCAATTTTTAGAAAAATACTTGTCATAATTACCGAGGACTGAAAACATTAAGATAGAAAACGTTGTAATAAATTTAATGTTTGGAAGGACCCATGCATAACGGCTGTTTTTATCGCGCAGAAATACTGCTGCGTATAATTTAGACGGTACTAGAATAAATAGGCTGACTAATTTAAGTTCACAAGAACCTCGAAGCTTTCGATCAGTGAACTGACCTATATTGGTGCACTATTGATGGTATCCATTAAAGAGCTATTTAAAACGTTTATAGCGGCAGGAAAGTCAGAAAGTTTACTCTTTTAACATCAGAGGGCGTCGCTAAGTTTCGTGAACTAGTGAAACGTGCGAACATTGGTCGGACATATGGATTGACAGCTAAAATTTCGAAAATAGATCGTTCGATTATATAAATACTCAGCCAGTCGTTAACAATTCGGGTACATTTGGGACAGTGGTCGTTGAACTTGATGGATCGTTCACCGATTTACGACATCTTCTTCAGGGAGGCGGGAGAGGTCAAATAAATGTGACAATTCGCGACGTGGATCAAGCGTGACGAAGAAATTTCTATTTTTCAGCGTGCAAGCTAATATTTAGCTATTTGATTTTCAATAGCCATGGTTCGTAGTGCGTTCAAATTAGATTGCAATTGAAAAAATGAAGTTTACCTTCGTTTAACCCTGATGTCCTCATCCAAAGTCAACCTTTTTTTTTTTATCAAAATAAATCAATTTTGAAGACACTAAGGGGGCAGTCTCGTGTGTACGTTGCAAAATTTAATCTTTATTAATTTTTTTTAACTAAATGTTACATCCAACTCTATAATTTATTTTCGCAATTTACTTAACTATCCTTTGGGAATACAAAATAAATTTTTCAATAATTCTTATTGACTTTTCATGTTTTTATCACGTCCACAGTAAACACGTGTTTAAACATTGGCGTAGGTGGGTGATTGCAGCTCTCAAGATTGACTAAATTAAAAAAATTAAGAAGATACTTTCAAAAAATTGATTTTTTTGAGGTCTCACATGAGACTACCCCCATAATTTACCTAATATTCTAAATCGTTATTTTTAAGGGGTCCATAAGCTTCATTCGAGTGTCGAGAGGAGTCTACAGAAGAAAAAGGTTAAATGACCTATTAGACTAATCTAACAGAGCCGATTCCTACAAAAACCATCGAGCGTTGATCCCCAGAACTCAAACACATATTCATACATATCATCCCTCATAGTTTACACCCTCACAGATTCTACTCAAACATCGTCCCTAAGATTTCCTCGTAGCTCGAATAGACGTCGCGAGTCAGGCCCTAAATCAAACGAAAGGGAACCGAGAACGTCTTCGAGAAGAACTCCCGACGATCTCTCGATCACGTTTCAGCCGTCACGAAGGTCCCGCGGTTGACAACGTCCGACACTTTATGGGGTATAATTTTCACATAGCAACCACGCGGCGCCCAACGCGACCAGCGTCCCCGTACCCGCGATACGGGGCGAGGCTGTGTATGGTTGCCCATAAAATGGCGCCATTTATCATCGTCCTACGGTCAGAACGCGCAGCGCAGCGGGCCGGCTGCGTTTATTCTCATGTAGATACTCGTCTACGTAGGTGGTCGGGCTCGCGAGGGTTCGTTCAACCCGGTTTTCAACCAGGCCACTTCTGCAGACGCAACCGGGGGGTTGCTAAATCATTCCCCTATCCGCCAGACACTTCTTTCTCCCTTCGCGTTTCGCTTCGAGAACCGAAAAGGGGCGGGTGACGATGGGGGTTGAACACGGACCGAG